TTTTGTTGGGGGGGCCAAACCCATTCCTTTGTTAACCGACCTTTCCCCTGTGTGGGGGAAAAAAATTCCATTGTTAGACCAAACCCCTTTCTGTGTGAGGGGAGAACTTTCCCAAAATTGTTAAACCGATCTTTTCTGTGGGAGGGCCGAACTTTTCAGCACCCGGGGGGGGGGGGGGGGCAAAAAACGCATTTCCTGCATTTTTTTCCCCTCTTTAATAGTAGTGAAACCCCAAATTTGAAGGGGACACCTGAAACTGACCCCACCCCCCCATAATAACCCCCCCCCATTGTTTTCCAGTCCCATAAATTGTATATAAAACATTTGCGGCGATGTTCCCTCCTGGGTGAGTCGTAATGGGGTTTTTGCAGTGGGGGAAACCCCCACAGCCTGAAGGTTGGGGGGGCACCCGTTCACTTCACAAAAAAAGGGAGAGAAATGGGGTTTGGGTTTTATTAAGGTCCCCCTGTACCCCCACTTTGGGTCTCCCCGCAGCTGGGGGTTAAAACCTCAAGTGGGGGAGGGGGGGCTTGAGCCCACTGTACCCCCCAATTTCTTTTATTGGTGATAGGAATTCGGGGAAACCCCCTTTTGAGCCCCCAAAAAAACCCATCACCCTCCCCCAAAACTGTAACCCCACGGGATGGATTTCATAATTTCAGACATATCCGCCGCGGCCCCAAACGCATCTCCTCTCCACCGATCGATCAGGTCACCGCGCCCGGGATTCATCGATCTGTAATGTCTGTGTCACAAAATGACTCCAATCTTCGTACACCCTAATATACCCCCAATAATCGTACACCCCAATATACCCCCAATAATCGTACACCCCAATATACCCCCATTATTCATACACCCCCCCAATAATTGTATACCCCAATATACCCCCATTAATTCATACACCCCCAATAATCGTATACCCTAATATACCCCCATTATTCATACAACCCCCCAATATACCCCCCATTATTAAGTATCTGAAATAAATAAATTATTCATACACCCCCAATAATCATATACCCTAATATACCCCCATTAATTATACACCCCCAATAATTGTATACCCCCCATTATTGTATACCCTTATCATACACCCCTATTATTGTGTACCCCAATATACCCCCATTAATCATACACCCCTATTATTGTGTACCCCAATATACCCCCATTAATCATACACCCCCATTATTGTACACTGTTCTATTCCCTTATACACCCCATACCCCTAATAGTTCTGTCCCCCGTTCGGTATATACCCTCGTACAGCATACCCCTATGATTAGATACCCCATGAATCATACACCCCCAATACACCCCATTATATACCCTCGTACAGTATACCCCTATGATTAGATACCCCATGAATCATACACCCCCAATACACCCCATTATATACCCTCGTACAGCATACCCCTATGATTAGATACCCCATGAATCATACACCCCCAATACACCCCATTATATACCCTCATACAGTATACCCCTATGATTAGATACCCCATGAATCATACACCCCCAATACACCCCATTATATACCCTCGTACAGTATACCCCTATGATTAGATACCCCATGAATCATACACCCCCAATACACCCCCATTATATACCCTCGTACAGTATACCCCATGATTAGATACCCCATGAATCATACACCCCCAATACACCCCATTATATACCCTCGTACAGCATACCCCTATGATTAGATACCCCATGAATCATACACCCCCAATACACCCCATTATATACCCTCATACAGTATACCCCTATGATTAGATACCCCATGAATCATACACCCCCAATACACCCCATTATATACCCTCGTACAGTATACCCCTATGATTAGATACCCCATGAATCATACACCCCCAATATACCCCCATTATATACCCTCATACAGTATACCCCTATGATTAGATACCCCATGAATCATACACCCCCAATACACCCCATTATATACCCTCATACAGCATACCCCTATGATTAGATACCCCATGAATCATACACCCCCAATACACCCCATTATATACCCTCGTACAGTATACCCCTATGATTAGATACCCCATGAATCATACACCCCCAATACACCCCATTATATACCCTCGTATACCCCCAATAATTCTGTACATGAAACCCTTCCATCCTCAGAGCCGGATCCGGCAGATGATCCTGGAGAAGACAGAAAACCCAGAGGATGAATCCGTCCTCAGTCCTCATTCCCATTTGTGGTTGGGGGGGGGGCGGTAGAAGACTCCCCCCCATAACACAAGCTGCAGCAAGAACTGAACCCCTCTGTCGCGTTTGGCAATACCGCCCACTGAGCGTCGCCTATCCAAGTGAATGGGACTGTGCCGCTGCCATGTGCAGGGTATGCGGTTGGGGTACAATGGGGTTAATACAGGTGATGAGGAGGTGACAAAACGCATCCCTCACCGCCTGTCAACTGCCCTCTGAAAAGCGATCTATCGCACATCATATCACTGGCGGCCAGCGTTAGTTTGCTCTTCCCCATTGTCAAGGAGCCAGAAGTTGGTTTTGGGATTCTTTGGCGGCTTCATTCTTGTTCCTCGGAGTCTTCATTCTTTTCCAGCTTTTACAAAGGCCTTTGAATGTCTTCCACCCGAAGGCAACACCGCAGAGTGGGGGAGGAGGGTAGATTGCTGTCCCCTTCCCTGTTGGGGGGCTAAGCCTCTAACCCAATCGCAGCAAGCAGGTGAAGCCGAACTGAATCGATGATCCTACAAGGCCGAGCAGAGGGCACCCCACAAGGACCAAAAGGATTGGGTGGGTACCAGCGGCTCTGAGCTGGACAGTAGGGACACCCCTGAGGGCTGATGTCCATACTGACCTTCATCTCAGCCAAAAGGCCGGGAACCGACCGCCGCCAACATGAGTGTACATGCCCCTACAGTGTGTACAGGGGGGGTGGAGAGGACCCCCGTATGTCCAGGCAGTCAGATTTCCCATCACTTCCTGTTTCAGAGACCCAGCAGGAAGTAATAGGAGATCTCTCCAGAGTGAGGGGATTTCCCTCGTAGTGTCACCAGAATGTTTATTGATAGGATTTCCTCTTAAAGTGGATCGTTAGTCAGGAAATTAAGTCCTGCGGGATGACGTCGTGCCGGCCCCTTTGCAGGTATAGCTATATAAGAACATTACCACTTGACAACCGGCGTCGTACAGTCAGGGGCGGACTGACAACTCATGGGGCCCACGGGCAGTAAGGGATCATGGGGCCCCTGTGTCCTCGCCCACACTCAAACCACACCCAAAAAAGCCTATGAAAGGTACCAGGGGCATCTCATGGGGCCCCCTACTGACCCCGGGCCCTTGGGCAGTGCCCGAGTTCCCAAACGGTCAGTGCACCCCTGCGTACCGTACCTTGCTGGGCTTCAAGCGACATCATCCTGGCTTTCTTGTCAAAGCAATCCTAGCGGCCAAGTGGCGGGATGACACACACACCCCACCCCCCGCTGTCTTCCGTGGCTCCCTGGGGCTCTCCTGTCCCACCGGCTGACCATAGAGGTCAGCAGAGCCCGGAACGGGCTCCGAACATCTCTATGGTATTGGAAACCAAAGGCGATGGACATTCATCACTTCCGGTTTCTCAGATGTCGACGGCGCCATTTTTAAAATGGGAAAGCATCTGATCACCCCGTTCTTGGTATCATCCGAAGCTTTTAACGGGAGAGGAAACCCTAAATCTCTCCATAAAGAGGACCTGTCACTGCCTTTGGTACCACAGAGGATATCTACAGTATGTTCCCTGTGATAACAATAAAAGGGATCAGGAAAAAAAAAGTGACAGTGCAAAAATCAATGAATCAAGAAATAATTAAGAAAAAAATGTGAATGCGTCCCTGTCCCTCGTGGTCGTGCGCAAAGGTGAATACATGCGTCGGCCCTGAACACGCGTACATCCAACACGTGAGGTATCACTGCGAACGTCATACGTCCAGCAGGAGGCCTGAATAGTGATCCCCTGTAAAGGCTTTTAAAGCGTCACCTACAGATAATAAAATGTACAACGTTTGTCGCCGCTGCACAATCGCGCAATTTTAAAGCCTGTTTGGAATCTATTTACTCGGCGTCACCTTTTATATTTGACCAACAATTGGGTATTAGGTTGTATCTTTGTGCATTAAATTCCAAAACATTGAGTTTGAAAAACCTTTGTGCGAATCCCATGTGACATAAAAACTGCACCCGCCATTTTATTCTCTGGGGCCTCTGCCTTAAAAATATATATATAATGTTTGGGGGTTCTAAGTAATTTTCTATCGAAAAAAAAAAACCGCACCTGATTCTGTACATGTAAATGAAAGGTGTCAGAAAAGGGCGGGTCTTCAAATGGTTAAAAATAGGAGCCTGTACTGTGCACAATACAAGGCCTGACTCCGCCCGCTCTGCACATGCTCAGTTGCTCTCTATTGCTGGCACTGTGCCAGATCTGTAGAGGCCGACCTGCTGAAGCTGATAATCCCGGCTAGATTCTGGGGGGTTGGGAACACTCAGACCTCTCTATGAACATCTAGAGGTCTGCTACACTGACTCAGCTCTTACAGTGAAGAATCCTTCCCTTACATGGAGGTCAGACCTCTTCTCCTTCAGGCGCAGAGAGCGTCCCCGCGTGCATTTTCACATTTTTAAGGACAGGACGTGAAGCTGTTTGTAAGCCAGAAAACCCAGAATGAGGACACAAAATTCCTCTATCCAGTGATGTCAATGACAAGATCTGACTGTGGAGGAAGACATTTCGCTGCGCACAGCTGACGTCCTGTCCAACATCTCATTGCCAGCCGTGTCCTGTGCCAGGGGTCATAGACAGCTATGAATAGAAGATATTATGTTTGCATTCCTCCATTCTCCTATGATAAGGGTGCGGTGCATTCCGGGTGTGAGGAGATCATTTGGCCGAACACCCAGAACTTGCCGATCCTTCCAATCCTCCCTCCGCCCCCCCTTTAGTCTTGCACAGGTGTACAGGCTCCTCCTCTTCAGTCTTGCACAGGTGTACCGGCTCCTCCCCTTTAGTCTTGCACAGGTGTACCCGCTCCTCCCCTTCAGTCTTGCACAGGTGTACCGGCTCCTCCCCTTCAGTCTTGCACAGGTGTACCGGCTCCTCCCCTCCAGTCTTGCACAGGTGTACCGGCTCCTCCCCTTCAGTCTTGCACAGATGTACCGGCTCCTCCCCTTCAGTCTTGCACAGGTGTACTGGCTCCTCCCCTTTAGTCTTGCACAGGTGTACCGGCTCCTCCCCTTCAGTCTTGCACAGGTGTACCGGCTCCTCTCCTTCAGTCTTGTACAGGTGTACAGACTCCTCCTCTTCAGTCTTGTACAGGTGTTCCGGCTCCTCCCCTTTAGTCTTGCACAGTTGTACTGGCTCCGCCCTGTCAGTCTTACACAGGTGTATCAGCTCCTCCCCTTCAGTCTTACGCAGGTGTACCAGCTCCTCCCCTTCAGTCTTGCGCAGGTGTATCAGCTCCTCCCCTTCAGTCTTGCACAGATGTACCGGCTCCTCCCCTTCAGTCTTGCACAGGTGTACTGGCTCCTCCCCTTTAGTCTTGCACAGGTGTACCTTCTCCTCCCCTTCAGTCTTGCACAGGTGTACTGGCTCCTCCCCTTCAGTCTTGCACAGGTGTACCGGCTCCTCCCCTTCAGTCTTGCACAGGTGTACCGGCGCCTCCCCTTCAGTCTTGCACAATTGTACCGGCTCCTCCCCTTCAGTCTTGCACAGGTGTACTGGCTCCTCCCCTTTAGTCTTGCACAGGTGTACCTTCTCCTCCCCTTCAGTCTTGCACAGGTGTACCGGCTCCTCCCCTTCAGTCTTGCACAGGTGTACCGTTTCCTCTCCTTCAGTCTTGTACAGGTGTACAGACTCCTCCTCTTCAGTCTTGAACAGGTGTTCCAGCTCCTCTCCTTTAGTCTTGCACAGTTGTACTGGCTCCGCCCTGTCAGTCTTACACAGGTGTATCAGCTCCTCCCCTTCAGTCTTGCACAGGTGTACCAGCTCCTCCCCTTCAGTCTTGCACAGGTGTACTGGCTCCTCCCCTTCAGTCTTGCACAGGTGTACGGGCTCCTCCCCTTCAGTCTTGCACATGTGTAAGGTCTCCTCCCCTTCAGTCTTGCACAGGTGTACTGGCTCCTCCCCTTCAGTCTTACACAGGTGTACTGGCTCCTCCTCTTCAGTCTTGCACAGGTGTACCGGCTCCTCCCCTTCAGTCTTGCACAGGTGTACGGGCTCCTCCCCTTCAGTCTTACACAGGTGTATTGGCTCCTCCCCTTCAGTCTTGCACAGGTGTACGGTCTCCTCCCCTTCAGTCTTGCACAGGTGTACTGGCTCCTCCCCTGGTTACGCTGATGTTACTGCACTAACTTGGAGCTTCTCACAATGTGCATTAGAAGCTGCAGCATTTCATATAGAGCTCCGCCTCATTTCATGGCTGGAGGACATCCAGCAACATCTAGATCTTTCCTCCTCAGCCTGATTGTCCCTGGCCCAGCCCCTTTCATTCATTGGATTTCAGTTCTTTCAATCATGGAGTTACAGCCTGCGTAGTAACTCCTCCAAACTGACATCCGCCCATCTAGGTATTTAGATATTTGCATAACTCCTCCCAATAGCTAGCCCACAGATTGCATCAGGACTAAGGCCTCTTGAGAGGAGTACTGAGGCAGGGTGCTGTGAAGCTACCACCAGAGATAAATCCATGACGAATCTACAGAAGAAGCTCTGACCACCAGAGACCAGACCATGACAAGTCTACAGGAGGAGGTCTGACCACCAGAGACCAGACCATGACAAGTCTACAGGAGGTCTGACCACCAGAGACCAGCCCATGACAAGTCTACTTGAGTAGGCCTGACCTCCAGAGACCAGTCCAAAACAAGTCTACAGGAGGAGGTCTGACCACCAGTGACAAGACCATGACAAGTCTACAGGAGGAGGTTTAACTACCAGAGACCAGACCATGACAAGTCTACAGGAGGAGGTTTAACTACCAGAGACCAGACCATGACAAGTCTATATGAGGAGCTCTGTCCACCAGATACTAGACCACCAGATACCAGTCCATTACAAGTCTACAGGGGGAGATCTGACCACCAGAGACTAGTCCAAAACGAGTCTACAGGAGGAGGTCTGGCCGCCAGAGACCAGCCCATGACAAGTCTACTTGAGGAGCTCTGACCATCAGGGACCAGTCCAACACAAGTCTACAGAAGGAGGTCTCACAACCAGAGACCAGACCATGACAAATCTACATAAGAAAGTCTGACCACCAGAGACAGAACATGATGGGTCTACAGGAGGCTGTTTGACCACAAGATACCAGACTATGACAAAGCTACAGGAGGAGCTTTGGAGTGAGGAGTCCACTTTTGGCCTCACAAATGGAGGGACCCACTGTGAGGGATGCACAGAGATAAAATTGCATTTAAACTTGGAGTTTCCTTTTAATTTGAGTTCGCTGACCCTGCCAGTATCTCTCCACCCAGTACAAACAGTAGTGATCCGATTCTTGAACCGCTGTGACCCCGGCCAGATCAGCCCCCCCACAGACGGAGGAAGACTATTTCATTATCTTTCCTTGTACTGTAGGACATCTCTTACACCCCCATATCTGGCACTACACTGGCCAAATATCCACTATATCCTCCAGTCATTCCAAATGGAACTCTAGAATGTCTCTGGAATGATGAAGGCGACCAATGACAGAGCGGCCTGGGTGTCTTATGTAACATTTCATAGCTCTGAATGAATTGTGTGTTTGTCACATTATATATCTTGTGTTCCTTCCAATCAGGATCTGCGGGGTGAGACGAGGACACAATCCAGGAAATCAGAGATCACATGGTGAAGGTGGAGGGCCTGAGTGGGCGATGTGATCGGAGATAGGGAGACACGGGGTACATGCCACAGCTTGGAGGACGCACACTGGTGATGTCTGTACATGTGTATGCACACACACATATACAGTTGCAAGAAAAAGTATGTGAACCCCTTGGGATTACGTGGAGTTTTGCATGAATTGGGCATAAAATGTGCTCTGAACGTCATCTAAGTCACAACAATAGAAGAACACAGTCTGCTGAACATAATACTACACAAACATTATATGTTGCCATGGTTTAATTGCACATAACATGTAAACATTCACAGTGCAGGGAGGAAAAAGTATTTGAACCTTTGGACTTAATAACTGGTTGATCCTCCTTTGGCAGCAATAACTTCAACCAAACGTTTCCTGTAGTTGCAGATCAGACCTGCACAACGATCTGGAGTCATTTTGGACCACTCCTCTTCACAAAACTGTTTCAGTGTAGCAATATTCTTGGGATGTCTGGTGTGAATCGCTCTCTTAAGGTCATGCCACAGCATTTCAATCGGGTTGAGGTCAGGACTCTGACTGGGCCACTCCAGAAGGCGTATTCTGTGCTGTTGCAGCCATTGTTTTGTTGAATGACTTGTATGCTTTGGGTCATCATTGTCCTGTTGCATCACCCATCCTCTGCGGAGCTTCAGTTGGCGGACAGATGGTCGTACGTTTTCCTGCAAAATGTCTTGATAAACTCTGGAATTCATTTTCCCATCAATGACAACAATCCGTCCAGCCCTGAGGCAGCAAAGCAGCCCCAAACCATGATGCTCCCTCCGCCATGTTTCACAGTGGGGATGAGGTTTTGATGTTGGTGTGCTGGGCCTTTTTTTTCTCCACACATAGTGTTGTGTGTTCTTCCCAAACAACTCAATCTTGGTTTCATCTGTCCACAGTATATTCTGCCAGTAGTGCTGTGGACACATCCAGGTGCTCTTTTGCAAACTTCAAACGTGCTGCAATCTTCTTTTTGGCCAGCAATGGCTTCCTCCGTGGTGTCCTCCCATGTACTCCATTCTTGTTTCATGTTTTCCTGATTGTAGATGTGTCAACAAAAATGTTAGCATGTGCCAGAGATTTCTGTAGGTCTTTAGCTGACACTCTGGGATTCTTCTTTACCTCATGCAGCATTCTGCGCTGTGCTCTTGCAGTCATTTTTACAGGACGACCACGCCTAGGGAGAGTAGCAACAGTGCTAAACTTTCTCCATTTGTAGACAGTCTGTCTTACCGTGGACACAGGAACATCAAGGCTCAAGGAGATACTTTTGTAACCCTTTCCAGCTTCATGCAAGTCAACAATTCTTGATCGTAGGTCTTCTGAGAGCTCTTTTCTGCGAGGCATGGTTCATATCAGACAGTGCTTCTTGAAACCAGTAAACCCAAAACAGGTGTCAGCAACACATCCAATATCATCCCACTGATTGGAGTCAAGGTTGGCTCACTCCTGGCTCCAATTAGCTCTGGAAGAAGTCGTTAAGCTAGGGCCTCACATACTTTTTCCTCCCTGCACTGTGAATGTTTACATGTTATGTGCAATTAAACCATGGCAACATCTAATGTTTGCATAGTATTATGTTCAGCAGACTGTGTTCTTCTATTGTTGTGACTTAGATGACGTTCAGAGCACATTTTATGCCCAATTAATGCAGAACTCCACGTAATCCCAAGGGGTTCACATACTTTTTCTTGCAACTGTATATCTACACACATACAGTATATATACTGTATGTTCATCTGTGCCCAAATATAAACAAAGTATACAGAAAATGGCAGCCCCCCTACCCCCAGTATGTTTTATACTGTAGCTGTCTGTGGAGGTGTGCATAGGTGGAGGAGATAACCGGGAGCCGTGTACCTGGAGATAACCGGGAGAGGCGTACCTGGAGATAACCGGGAGCCGTGTACCTGGAGATAACTAGGAGCCGTGTACCTGGAGATAACTAGGAGCCGTGTACCTGGAGATAACTAGGAGAGGCGTACCTGGAGATAACCGAGAGCTGTGTACCTGGAGATAACCGAGAGCCGTGTACCTGGAGATAACCGAGAGCCGTGTACCTGGAGATAACTGGGAACAGTGTAGCTGGAGATAACCAGGAGTGGTGTACCTGGAGATGACCAAGAGCTGCGTACCTGGAGATGACCAGGAGTGGTGTACCTGGAGATGACCAAGAGCTGCGTACCTGGAGATGACCAGGAGTGGTGTACCTGGAGATGGCTGGGAGCGGTGTACCTGGAGATGGCCGGGAGCGCTGTACCTGGAGATAACCAGGAGTGGTGTACCTGGAGATGACCAGGAGTGGTGTACCTGGAGATGACCAAGAGCTGCGTACCTGGAGATGGCCAGGAGTGGTGTACCTGGAGATGGCCGGGAGCGGTGTACCTGGAGATGGCCGGGAGCGCTGTACCTGGAGATAACCAGGAGTGGTGTACCTGGAGATAACCAGGAGTGGTGTACCTGGAGATGACCAGGAGTGGTGTACCTGGAGATGGCCGGCAGCGACGTACCTGGAGATGGCCGGCAGCGGCGTACCTGGAGATGGCCGGGAGCAGCATACCTGGTGATAACCGGGAGCGTTGTGTACCTGAAGATAACCAGGAGCGGTGTACCTGGAGATAACTAGGAGTGGTGTACCTGGAGATGACCAGGAGCTGCGTACCTGGAGATGACTGGGAGAGGCGTACCTGGAGATGACCGGGAGCGGCATACCTGGAGATGGCCAGGAGAGGCGTACCTGGAGATGGCTGGGAGCGGTGTACCTGGTGATAACCGGGAGCGTTGTGTACCTGAAGATAACCAGGAGTGGTGTACCTGGAGATCACCAGGAGCTGCGTTCCTGGAGATGACTGGGAGAGGCGTACATGGAGATGACCAGGAGTGGTATACCTGAAGATGGCCAGGAGTGGTGTACCTGGAGATTGCCGGGAGCGGCGTACCAGAAGATGACCGAGACCGGTGTACCTGGAGATGACCAGGAGTGGCGTACCTGGAGATGGCCGGGAGCGCTGTACCTGAAGATGGCCGGGAGCGCTGTACCTGGTGATAACCGGGAGCGTTGTGTACCTGAAGATAACCATGAGTGGTGTACCTGGAGATGACTGGGAGAGGCGTACATGGAGATAACCGGGAGAGGCGTGCCTGGTGATAACCGGGAGCATTGTGTACCTGGACATAACCAGGAGTGGTGTACCTGGAGATAACTAGGAGTGGTGTACCTGGGGATGACCAAGAGCTGCGTACCTGGAGATGACCGGGAGTGGTGTACCTGGTGATAACCGGGAGCATTGTGTACCTGGACATAACCAGGAGTGTTTGTACCTGGAGATAACTGGGAGCGGTGTACCTGGAGATGGTCAGGAGCAGTGTACCTGGAGATAACTAGGAACGTTGTGTAACTAGAGATAACCGGGAGCAGCGTACCTGGAGATAACGAGGAGCGGCGTACCTGGAGATGGTCGGGAGCGGCGTACCTGGTGATAACCGGGAGCGTTGTGTACCTGAAGATAACCAGGAGCAGTGTACCTGGAGATGACTGGGAGAGGCGTACCTGGAGATGACCGGGAGCGGCATACCTGGAGATGGCCAGGAGAGGCGTACCTGGAGATGGCTGGGAGCGGCGTACCTGGTGATAACCGGGAGCGTTGTGTACCTGAAGATAACCAGGAGTGGTGTACCTGGAGATCACCAGGAGCTGCGTACCTGGAGATGACTGGGAGAGGCGTACATGGAGATGACCAGGAGTGGTGTACCTGAAGATGGCCAGGAGTGGTGTACCTGGAGATTGCCGGGAGCGGCGTACCTGGAGATGACCAGGAGTGGCGTACCTGGAGATGGCCGGGAGCGCTGTACCTGAAGATGGCCGGGAGCGCTGTACCTGGAGATGGCCAGGAGTGGCGTACCTGGAGATGGCCGGGAGCGCTGTACCTGAAGATGGCCGGGAGCGCTGTACCTGGTGATAACTAGGAACGTTGTGTACCTGAAGATAACCATGAGTGGTGTACCTGGAGATGACTGGGAGAGGCGTACATGGAGATGACCGGGGGAGAGGCGTGCCTGGTGATAACCGGGACCTTTGTGTACCTGGAGATAACTAGGAGTGGTGAACCTGGGGATGACCAAGAGCTGCGTACCTGGAGATGACCGGGAGTGGTGTACCTGGTGATAACCGGGAGCATTGTGTACCTGGACATAACCAGGAGTGTTGTACCTGGAGATGACTGGGAGCGGTGTACCTGGAGATGGTCAGGAGCAGTGTACCTGGAGATGACTGGGAGTGGTGTACATGGAGATAACTAGGAACTTTGTGTAACTAGAGATAACCGGGAGCAGCGTACATGGAGATAACGAGGAGCGGCATACCTGGAGATGGTCGGGAGCGGCGTACCTGGTGATAACCGGGAGCGTTGTGTACCTGAAGATAACCAGGAGCGGTGTACCTGGAGATAACTAGGAGTGGTGTACCTGGAGATGACCAGGAGCTGCGTACCTGGAGATGACTGGGAGAGGCGTACATGGAGATGGCCGGGAGAGGTGTGCCTGGTGATAACTAGGAGTGGTGTACCTGGGGATGACCAAGAGCTGCGTACCTGGAGATGACCGGGAGTGGTGTACCTGGGATGACCAAGAGCTGCGTACCTGGACATAACCAGGAGTGTTGTACATGGAGATAACTAGGAACGTAATGTAACTAGAGGTAACCAGGAGCGGCGTACCTGGTGATGACCAGGAGTGGTGTACCTGGAGATGGTCGGGAGTGTTGTACCTGATGCTGACCAGGAGCCGTGTACCTGGAGATGACCACGAGCCGTGTACCTGGAGTTGTTCATGTTACAGCAGAGCCCAGGGTCTCATGTGACGGCAGAGCCCAGGGTCTCATTGATTGCCGTACATGTGACGGCAGAGTTGGTGCTCTCATAGACTGGAGTACGGCTGTATTGTACAGGGGCCCCTCAGCATGCTGTACAGTCGGCTCATGTGGGTTCCAATGTATGAGACGGAGCCCTCGGCCTTTATGATGGTATGCTCGGGTGTAGACAGGTCCTCTTGTCAGTGGAGATCACTTAGAATGTTTTTGTACCATGAAGAGTTTTAAGAACAAGTCCATGTGTCATCTGACAGGATGCCCCTCCCCCCTTACCCAGTCTTTTCTGGAATCTTTGAGACTGAACAGGCCGTGGCACGGGACATACGTCTCCTGTGCCAGGCCTCTATAATGTCTTCTACAAAGAGACATTCCCACCCCCTATGGAAAATACCTTCACCCAAAATAGTCTTCAGAGGCCAGCAATGCCACACAATGCACCTCCTGCAGACCCTCCTAGGCCAATGACAACAGTGACTCAGCTGAAACCAAGCTGCCTCTCTGTGTTGATGGTCATTTCCCTCAATGTCAATGGTCGCCATCTCTCAATGTCAATGGTCGCCGTCTCTCAATGTCAATGGCCGCCGTCTCTCAGTGTCAATGGCCGCCGTCTCTCAATGTCAATGGCCGCCGTCTCTCAGTGTCAATGGCCGCCGTCTCTCAGTGTCAATGGCCGCTGTCTCTCAATGTCAATGGACGCCATCTTTTAATGTCAATGGCCGCCGTCTCTCAATATCAATGGTTGCCGTCTCTCAATGTCAATGGCCGCCGTCTCTCAATATCAATGGCCGCCGTCTCTCAATGTCAATGGCCGCCGTCTCTCAATGTCAATGGTTGCCGTCTCTCAATGTCAATGGCCGCCGTCTCTCAATGTCAATGGCCGCCGTCTCTCAATGTCAATGGCCGCCGTCTCTCAATGTCAATGGCCGCCGTCTCTCAATATCAATGGCCGCCGTCTCTCAATATCAATGGCCGCCGTCTCTCAATGTCAATGGCCGCCATCTTTTAATGTCAATGGCCACCGTCTCTCAATATCAATGGTTGCCGTCTCTCAATGTCAATGGCCGCCGTCTCTCAATATCAATGGCCGCCGTCTCTCAATGTCAATGGCCGCTGTCTCTCAGTGTCAATGGCCGCCGTCTCTCACTGTCAATGGCCACCATCCCTCAATGTCAATGGGTACAGAACACTCCCCTCCATTGGGCACAGAACACTCCCCTCCATTGGGTGCAGAACACTTCCCTCCATTGGGTACAGAACACTCCCCTCCATTGGGTACAGAACATTCCTCTTCATTGGGTACAGAACACTCCCCTCCATTGGGTACAGAACACTCCCCTCCATTGGGTACAGAACACTCCCCTCCATTGGAAACAGAACACTCCCCTCCATTGGATACAGAACACTCCCCTCCATTGGGTACAGAACACTCCCCTCCATTGAAAACAGAACACTCCCCTCCATTGGGTACAGAACACTCCCCTCCATTGGGTACAGAACACTCCTCTCCATTGGATACAGAACACTCCCCTCCATTGGGTACAGAACACTCCCCTCCATTGGGTACAGAACACTCCCCTCCATTGGGTACAGAACAGAACACTCCCCTCCATTGGGTACAGAACATTCCCCTCCATTGGGTACAGAACACTCCCCTCTATTGGGTACAGAACAGAACACTCTCCTCCATTGGGTACAGAACACTCCTCTCCATTGGGTACAGAGCACTCCCCTCCATTGGGTGCAGAACACTCCCCTCCATTGGGCGCAGAACACTTTCCTCCATTGGATACAGAACACTCCCCTCCATTGGGTACAGAACACTCCTCTCCATTGGGTACAGAGCACTCCCCTCCATTGGGTGCAGAACACTCCCCTCCATTGGGCGCAGAACACTCCCCTCCATTGGGCGCAGAACACTTTCCTCCATTGAATACAGAACACTCCTCTCCATTGGGTACAGAACACTCCTCTCCATTGGGTACAGAACACTCCCTCCATTGGGTACAGAACACTCCCCTCCATTGGGTACAGAACATTCCCCTCCTTTGGGTACAGAACACTCCCCTCCATTGGGTACAGAACAGTCCTCTCCATTGGGTACAGAACACTCCTCTCCATTGGATACAGAACACTCCCCTCCATTGGGTACAGAACACTCCCCTCCATTGGGTACAGAACAGAACACTCCCCTCCATTGGGTACAGAACATTCCCCTCCATTGGGTACAGAACACTCCCCTCTATTGGGTACAGAACAGAACAGCACACTCCCCTCCATTGGGTACAGAACACTCCTCTCCATTGGGTACAGAGCACTCCCCTCCATTGGGTGCAGAACACTCCCCTCCATTGGGCGCAGAACACTCCCCTCCATTGGGCGCAGAACACTTTCCTCCATTGGATACAGAACACTCCTCTCCATTGGGTACAGAGCACTCCCCTCCATTGGGTGCAGAACACTCCCCTCCATTGGGCGCAGAACACTCCCCTCCATTGGGCGCAGAACACTTTCCTCCATTGAATACAGAACACTCCTCTCCATTGGGTACAGAACACTCCTCTCCATTGGGTACAGAACACTCCCCTCCATTGGGTACAGAACATTCCCCTCCATTGGGTACAGAACACTCCCTCCATTGGGTACAGAACACTCCCCTCCATTGGGTACAGAACATTCCCCTCCTTTGGGTACAGAACACTCCCCTCCATTGGGTACAGAACAGTCCTCTCCATTGGGTACAGAACACTCCCCTCCCCCCTAATTAGGGGACAACCACTGGACCTCCTCTGTCTGCCCAGTTCAGGAACATGGATGAGGTTCTCCTACTCTTAGGCCTTCCTCCAGTCCAGTCGGGGATTTCATCTTCTTAATCCACACTTGGGTTCTTCAATGGGTGGTGGTTCCACTTTGACCCCTGGTGGTAGGGCCAACGGTGGTAGGGCCAATGGAGTATTTAGGTTTTGTGCTCCCCTAAGCAACACAAAAATTGCCCCCCCCCCCCCACCAGAGAGAGCTTGACTCCAACCAACACCCCCCCCTCAACACCCCTGGAGAGAGACTGACATTGACCAACAACACCCGTGTCCCCCCACCCAGGAGGAGAGCCTTCCACTACCATCGCCCCTCATACACCAGACGCCCCACCCCCCGGCAAGACAGAGAAGACACTCATCTTCACAGCTCCGGACATCCCCGGGAAGGAGAGTCGGGTTCTACATACACCATCAAGGAGCCCACAGCCTCTCGGTTCCCACCTGGTCCCCATGCCACGTGTGTCCCTTCTTCTGTCTGCCCCCCCCTGAAAAAATGCCACCCTAGGCAAATGCCTTGTGCTAAATGCACCCCTGGGTGGGGCGTCTTACTCCAACAGCTTTGGGGCCTTTCTCTCTGGAAATGGTCCAACTTGGCAGCCCCAGAACAGGGATGGTGACCTTGCCCACCTGGGCTGCCTCTGAGGCGGCGTTTGCCTTCTCCACATAGGGGCCTCCTCTTCTTGGCCCCTCAGAGTCATGGTAGTGGAGTCATCCTGTCTGTTCCCGGATAGTCACCTCCCATGGAGCCGTCAGTTCAGTTGTAGGTGGACCTGTTGATATTCCACCTCCGATGGCAATTGGTGAATCCATGTCTGTATGTCTCCACCATCCCGGAACTTCAGCTTGGTGTTTCGTCATCTTCCTCCTGCGATGTCTCTGAGCTTTCCTCCATCTACAGTCTGTTCCTCCAGCCGCCCGTCCTCCTCGCCCCACCACTCCACCCTAGTATGGGGCATCTCTGCTGATACTTTGTGCACTTCCTGTGCAGACTGTGGAATGGATTCTCCTGCTCTCTGCTGATGAAGGGGCCCCTCAGGTCCCCTCCTGTTGCTGATTGGCCAGATCCCACTTCTAAGGGGTGAGGGAGTCCTGACCTTCTGCTGGGAGATCCAGGAACCACCTGCTTGCCTCCCCCTCTAAGGTGCTAATGACGTCCTTGCTGAGTGGATCACATGATTGGTTCAAGTCCGGCAATCTCTAGGCCCAATCACCCAATAGGTCAATAATTAAATAATAATATTAATAATGCAATTATATTATTAATAAAATGTTATTATTATTATTATCACATGAATATTATTACCATTTATTATATTATTATCACATGAATATTATTACCATTTATTATATTATTATCACATGAATATTATTACCATTTATTATATTATTATTATTATTATCACATGAATATTATTACCATTTATTATATTATTATTATTATTATCACATGAATATTATTACCATTTATTATATTATTATCACATGAATATTATTACCATTTATTATATTATTATTATTATTATCACACATTAAGATTATTACCATTTATTATATTATTATTATCACATGAATATTATTACCATTTATTATATTATTATTATCACATGAATATTATTACCATTTATTATATTATTATCACCATAATATTATTACCATTTATTATATTATTATTATATTATCACATTAATATTATTACCATTTATTATTATTAGTATTATTAATAATAATAATAAATACCGATAATATATTTTATTATATTATTATTAATAATACATTTTTTATAATAATAATAATATGATAATAATAACATTATGGTGGTGATTATAATAATATTATTAAAAATAATAATGAATACTAATATAATTAAATTATTATTATTTCACCATTATTATCATAATGTATTGGTTATTATTATCAAATAAATAATTATACTGATAATAAAAAAATGAGAAGAATTAAATGGTGATAATAACCAAATAATACAAATTAAATATTAATAATAATAATTCTACTACACTATTTGTATTAACATATAATAATAATGAAGAGTGGAGCCGAGACCGATCCTCGTCGCCGACATCTCATTCTAGAAATACAGAATCGGATTGGACTTGGATCCAGCACAGACAGCGCGCCCCGTCACCATGGATACAATATATCAATGTATTAGTAATTCATCCCCCAATACTTCAGTATATTATATCAATGGATCCAATGTATCATCAATGACGTCATCGGGTCCTGATCCAGGGAGACCATCTGGATACAAAGTATCATCGATGACGTCATCGGGTCCTGATCCAGGGAGACCATCTGGATACAAAGTATCATCGATGACGTCATCGGGTCCTGATCCAGGGAGACAATGTGGATACAAAGTATCAGGTCACGTGGTCTGTCAGTTACAATGTCTTCTTTCCCTCCATTATAGTACCAGGGGCGGACTGACTATTTGGAAACTCGGGCACTGCCCGAGGGCCGGGGTCAGTAGGGGGCCCCATGAGATGCCCCTGGTACCTTTTTCATAGGCTCTTTTGAGTTTGGGCAAGGACACAGGGGCCCCATGATCCCCTATTGCCCGGGGGCCCCATGAGATGTCAGTCCCCCCCTTAGTACTGTAGTATGAATTATAATAGCCCCCCCTTTCCACCCTCACACCCCCACCGGGATGGAGCAGTACTTGCAGTATTAATGATGATAGTACCCCCCCTCCTCCCCCCCCCCACCCTCGGACCCCCACTGGGATGGAGCAGTACTTGCAGTATTAATGATGATAGTACCCCCCCCTCCTCCCCCCTTGGCCCCCCCACCCTCGGACCCCCACTGGGATGGAGCAGTACTTGCAGTATTAATGATGATAGTACCCCCCCTCCTCCCCCCTTGGCCCCCCCACCCTCGGACCCCCACTGGGATGGAGCAGTACTTGCAGTATTAATGATGATAGTACCCCCCCCCCCCCCCCCCCGTTGAGAATCGCCCTTGGCTCTGCCCAGGGGAGGTGAAGGGGTTAAGAGATTCTCATGATGCAAATCAGGCCACACCCCTCAGAGTGTTTGCGCCATGTGCTCCCAGGCCCCGCCCCTATTGCATCAGAGCTGTCTGCTGTATTAGATTTTTGATGATTCATCCTTGGAAGGGGCGGGGACTTTCCGCTTGTCTCCTTAGAAGAGGCTGCGAATGGAGGTGTGCGGGGAGTAGAGGGCGGTGCTTAGTTGTTCGGTACCTCCGGGCTCCGCCTCCGTACAGGCGTGGCATGGCAATGGTCCCTCCCTCCCCAAGCCCCGCCCTCAGGTATATAAGGTCTCTCCCGGCTCTCACTCCGCTCATTCTCTCCTGTCTGACGGCCTGGTCCGGCCGTCTCCCGGGGGCTCCCCGTCCTGCTGGTCCCGGACTCGGTCGTTGCTCCGGGGGAACGCTCTGGTGCTGCTGACCGTGGCCGGGGTCCTGCTGGGGGCGGCGCTGGGGATGGGGCTCCGCCCACTGCACATGTCTCCGGTACAGATCGCCCATTTCTCGTTCCCGGGAGAACTCCTCATCCGCCTCCTGAAGATGATCATCCTGCCGCTGGTCGTGTGCTCGCTGGTGTCCGGAGCCGCTTCCCTGCAGCCCTCCGCCCTGGGGCGCCTCGGGGGCTGGGCGCTCCTCTTCTTCCTCGTCACCACCCTCCTCGCCTCCGCCCTCGGGGTCTGCCTGGCCCTTCTCATCCGCCCGGGGGAGGGCGCTGGCGAGGGGCTCAGCAAGGGGGAGGAGGTGGAGGCCAAGGAGGTGGTCGACTCCTTCCTGGACCTCGTACGGTAGGTGAATGGAGGAGGGGAGACTGCCGGGGGGAATGGGGTTGGAGGAGGGGAGAGCCCTGGGGGGATTGGAGGAGGGGAGAGCGCCGGGGGGGATTGGAGGCTCCTGGACCTCGTACGGTAGGTGAATGGAGGAGGGGAGAGCCCTGGGGGGATTGGAGGCTCCTGGACCTCGTACGGTAGGTGAATGGAGGAGGGAGAGAGCGCCGGGGGGATTGGAGGCTCCTGGACCTCGTACGGTAGGTGAATGGAGGAGGGGAGAGCCCTGGGGGGATTGGAGGAGGGGAGAGCGCCGGGGGGATTGGAGGCTCCTGGACCTCGTACGGTAGGTGAATGGAGGAGGGGAGAGTGCGGGGGGGATGGGATTGGAGGAGGGGAGAGTGCGGGGGGGGATGGGATTGGAGGAGGGAGAGTGCGGGGGGGGATGGGATTGGAGGAGGGGAGAGTGCGGGGGGGGATGGGATTGGAGGAGGGGAGGGGGAGAGTGCGGGGGGGGATGGGATTTGGAGGAGGGGAGAGTGGCCGGGGGGATTGGAGGAGGGGAGAGAGCGCCGGGGGGATTGGAGGCTCCTGGACCTCGTACGGTAGGTGGAGGAGGGGGAGAGCGCCGGGGGGGGGGATTGGAGGCTCCTGGACCTCGTACGGTAGGTGAATGGAGGAGGGGAGAGCCCTGGGGGGATTGGAGGAGGGGAGAGCCCTGGGGGGATTGGAGGAGGGGGGAGAGCGCCGGGGGATTGGAGGCTCCTGGACCTCGTACGGTAGGAGAATGGAGGAGGGGAGAGCGCCGGGGGGATTGGAGGCTCCTGGACCTCGTACGGTAGGAGAATGGAGGAGGGGAGAGCGCCGGGGGGGATTGGAGGAGGGGAGAGCGCTGGGGGATTGGAGGCTCCTGGACCTCGTACGGTAGGTGAATGGAGGAGGGGAGAGCGCCGGGGGGGATTGGAGGCTCCTAGACCTCGTACGGTAGGTGAATGGAGGAGGGGAGAGCGCCGGGGGGATTGGAGGCTCCTGGACCTCGTACGGTAGGAGAATGGAGGAGGGAGAGCGCCGGGGGAGATTGGAGGCTCCTGGACCTCGTACGGTAGGAGAATGGAGGAGGGGAGAGCGCCGGGGGGATTGGAGGCT